CAAAATTTAAAGGGCTGATCATCTGGAAATTTGGAATGAAATAATTAGCTTAGCACATGATTGATCTGTAACTAACTGTAAAAATACTAGGGTCTAAACAACCACCTCTTCTCCTTTAGCTGTGAGTTTCTTGTGGGTGAGTGCCTCGCTCAGGAAAGAACCATCAACTCCCAACAGCTGTAGAACAACACATCTGTTCACAGCTTAAAATATTATAAATTTTTGCAGATGCGTTAATACTGAAGGGACTGCTCTGACCTTCTCAAGCATCATTATCTGCTCCTCATTGGTAATTTGAGTTTCCCCATCCTCCCCTTCTCCAAACTGCGTGTTTCCCAGATGGAGAATGCCGGCAATTATGTTCAGTACATTCTGTGGTCAAAGATTACATCATTATTCATTGTGTTATAAACTTGTGAGTGAGAGTATAAAAACAGTTTTCTTTCTACTAATCACTGGGTTGAGTTCCAGATGGCATCACAACATTCTATAGGCTAATAATATTTAATACAGATTTTGGGACAACTAAAATAGATCAGAAATAAAGCAGATTTTTGTTGTAATACAAGAAGTTTATCTAGTTTTGTCACAGATAGAAAACATCAGATTCAATATTTGCGCATTTATACCTTTTAGATATTTCACGGTACAATATAAACAACGGGGATATCTGTATGACATCATCACATTTGAGTATCTAAAAATCTTCAATTTGTCTCAGTGTTTAAAAACAGAGAGAAGCCAAATGAAGGGATAGAGATACAGACCTGCACTTCATCCTCTGTGAATCCAATAACAGGGAGGGCATTCATGACAGTCTTCCAGTTGTTCTTGTCACTGATAGAGCTCACTCTGGGACAATTGCCCTAAATAGTTATTACAGATTAGATAAGATAATCAAATAAATGAAGCAGCATTTACTGTGTTTACCTGAATTTAAACTTACTTTGACTAAGTAGTTGTAGCTCTGTGGGTTTCTTTCCAGGTTTAATCTTTTGATCAGCTTTTCCTCCCCTCCTTCCAAAAGCTGATAGAAGATATGGAAATTTCTCTCACCGTGGTTTTGATGAACAACACGAGACTTCTCCAGCAGGTAGTTTAGGATATGGCCACCTACAGGGGCACCCTATTTTTAAAAGAAAATATAAAAGTTTATTTATTTTCTTGTAATCTATAAAATGATACAGAACAAACCTTAAAATCAAACTGCACATCCATATATTTCCCAAAGCGACTAGAGTTGTCATTCGAAGAGTTTTAGCATTACCAAAAGCCTGAAACAAACAAAAAAGAACAAAAGGTTGTATTCAAAATATATTAATAACTCTGCAAAGAGGTGGTTACCTACCTCTAGAACAGGGTTGGACTGCAGTAGCTTCTCCCCCAGAGTGTCCATGTGGTCCTTTGCAGGGCAGGTGACCGCGTAGTATAACAGGATCTTCTTTGAAGCTTCAGTTTTTCCTGCTCCACTCTCACCTGAGATGAGGATACACTGATCTTTCCTCTCAGTGCGCATGGCTCGATATGTGTTGTCAGATAGTGCATAGCTGAAATAAATAACAACAAATAAACATGTGGTCTTATTTGTGTATAATACATATTGTAATATTAAAATGCTTTCCAAATTGCATATGTGTTCATATAAATTAATTTTAGTAACCAACAACCTGTATTTCTTTGAAAGAACTGAGTAAAAGTACCAAAGGCATCAGTGTTTAAGAATCTACATTCCATTGAGAGCACACTGGCTTGTTGTAACTTACATATGAGGTGATATCTCATAGAAGCTGACCCCTCTGTAGCGCTCCATCTGTTGTTTGGAGTAAATCTCCAGTTCTTTGTATGGATTCATTGACACCAACACAGAGCCGATGTACGTCTGCCCCAAAACATCAGACAACAATGTTTCTTATGTGACATAAATAAACACATACAGCTTAATCCAACACACTGTAAAAGACTTACATAGATGAGGTTTTCTCTGAAGCGGCGCCGTAAGTTCTCTATGAAGGCTGCCTCACTGTTGTAATTCTCCAAAAGGACAAAGTCCTGGACCCCGACCCTATCTCGAGCTGTCAATGCACTCTCCATCACGAGACGCACCCTCCCATCAACATCAACCTCCTACAGAAACATTACAGAATAAAGCATTATACTTTTGGAGAGAGAGCTGCCTTTTACACTGGGAGCTGTAGTGACACTTTCTTGACAGAAAGAGGGCAGTCAAGTCACATTTTCACATAGAAAAATGTGATTGAGGAGCACATCTGTCCTGATAACATAAGAAAACATGATCTTAAGAGTGGATACAAACAAAACTCTCCCATTAGTCATGCTAAAACAACAAACAGGGGTGTTTTTGTGCAGTTTGAGAAAGGCCAAAAATCACACAGTTGTTCCACTTGGATTTGCCAGGATCCAACAATGAAGACGTTCAAACATCCCAGCAGTAAACAGGAGACTGACTTTGTGTTATGTAATGGTGACATTCAAGAGAATTAAAAAGTATATACAACACACTGCTTTATCACCAGACAGTGTTAAAGAACTGTTTATGTTGACCCTGAATGAAAACAAAGCAAGGAGAGCTGCTCAGTATATCTCAAAAATACTGATATGACAAACTAAATATGTATATTTTAGAACTAAGTTAATTATTATTTTTCCCATTTAGTACAAATTTAACCTTTTAATCTTGATTTAGCGGTTGTTTTTGCAGTTTGATGAGTCAGTTCAGTCATTTCCATTTAACTTAACTTGTCTCAGAGTAAATTAAAATATTACAATAAATTCTTTACTGCACTACATATAGTCATTGAATTTAGATTTTTATCTCATAGCATACAGCTATAATTTGAAACACACAAGTGGCTCAATTTCCAATGAAATACTCATATATGTTTGCCCAAAACATACACAGCCATCACTCACCGAAAACACTGATTTAATATTATACTTACAGAAATTTGAAAAATAAAAGGAGGATAAAACTAGCCTTGTGAATAAAATCACAGCCTTTCCTCCAGCGCTAAGTTCCACTGATGAGAGCGAGATTGTAACAAAGTGAGCTGCTCCACAAGACTACTGCTAATGTTCAATAGTTGAGGCTCTCGAGGGTCTCATTTGGCTGTTTAGTGTTGGGATAGGTCATTATCTCTGCACACTAGATGCAGGGAAATCCTCTAAAAACACAAAAGGACAACAGTGGAACATCGCCAAAACTGCAAACTAGAGGAAGGTCAAAGCATTTCCATTGCGACTGCTCCTCCTCCTTCACCTCCTACATTGTTCCTCGCTGCATCAGGTGGGCTTCCGACCATAACACTTACAGATCACAGTCAGATTTTCCAAAAGATACAACTGTGGAATGCAAGGTCAAGCTTTGGCCAAGTCAGTGGACGCTCAAGGCTTTATGTCCAGTGATGGGAAGAATACTTTGAAAATGTACTTAGTTACAAAATGCTGAATACCTGTATTAAAATGTATTTTGTAACATATTCTGATACATGCCCCAATCAGAGTACAATCTTCTGAATACATAGAATAATTTCAATTTTACATTGAGTTGCATTTAAATTATAGTGTAAAGCTGCACAATGTAATTAAAAACAGCTTTAAATTAGTTTTACCATTTGTTATGTATTTTCTACCACTAACTGGAAAAGGAAAAATTACGCAAGCACTCACCACAAGAGCAGCTTTGTCTATTTGTCTATTTTTCTCACTGATAATGTGCAGTTTGAAGCCTAAATTGTGTAATCAAATATGGCCATGTATTTCTTTGATTTTATAAAAGCAACTGCATTCTGAATACAACCAAATGAAAAGGTAATTGTACCAGAATACAGTTACTAAAAATTAATATTCTGAATACGTGTTCTCGGAACATTCAGTTGCTTTCCAACACTGGTCATGCTGAATGTCTGCTACACCTCTGCAGGATTATAGCTCTGCACATGTGATGTTAACCAGCACTACGTCAAAGCAAATCACACTGAAATACGGTTTATCAAGTATTTTTATCCCTTGAGAAAATACCTAAAATTGTTAGCCTTTAAAGGTGCGCTATGTAACTTTTCTGGGGGAGGGTTTGCTGTTTGCATGTCACCATGGAGAGGAAACTACTTTGCCTGGAATTTTCCACAGTGAGGCGTTTAACTATATCTTTTAACATTCAAACATTTAATCAGTTACAGTGTTTATATTGCTATAAAATTTGAAAAACACTCTAGGCAAAACAAAACATCTTCATGAAGGCAAGCAGGTGGCCGAACTCCCAGAAAATGTTACTTAGTTCACCCGTAATTAGTTTTTCCTGGTTAACTGGGGATTTGAAGACTCTCTGCCTTGTTAACTGATGTGTACAATAGAAATAAACAAAGTAATGCATGAGAGCAAGTTGTTTCCTGTTTAAAATGATCTATCAATGATGTTTGAACATTATCCAATAACAG